AGTGAGTAAATTGTCTAGCGTAGTCCCCTTCTTAGCCACAGATGATGTTCTAAAGGTCTCAGTGGATGTCTGAAGTCTCCTTATGTACAGAATCCTATATAAGCTATATTTTCCTATCTACAGATTCAGGGTGACCAGCTGCATTGTCTATTATTAATAAGATTTTAAATTATATTCCATTATTTTTTCAAATAGTCTTGCAGTTCTGGAAAAAAATATATCTATAAAGTTTATACAAAGTTTTACATATACCTATAACTAGCTAACCATAATTTAAGCAGAACAAGTATTGCAATATACTTTAATAAAATACACTTTAATAAAAGTTATGTGAATATGGGTTCTCTCTCTCTCTCGCTCTCTCAAAATACCTTATTGTACTGTACTTGCCCTTCTTGTAAAGAGGTGAGATGGCACAATGCCTAGGTCATGAGATGAAGTGTGGTGAATGGTGCAGGCACTGTGACAGCCTTAGGCTACTCTTGACCTTATGATGTGTCCAAAGGAAGGTCATCTGTTTCCACTGATCCTGGATTGTCAAGCCCTAGACAATGTCAATGGTTGATGACAGGCATAGACAATTGTGATGGTTGGGAATCCTTCACACAGTTGAAGAATTTTTGCAAAGTTGTTTCAAAGAACACTGCAATTAGAACTTCTTTTTTTAAAAAATATCAAATATTAGTGTGGAGGTGTTAGTCCTTCAGTGATCACAGAGATGATTATGCTGTATTCCATCAAAATATTTTATTCCATAATGTTTTCCTTTAATGTCTGTTTAATTTGAAATAATTAAGCTGATTTTTGTAATGTCCACATTATGGGTTTTGCTTCAGCATAAGTTTACTTTTATTTCTTCACAATTTCACTGGTAAATATTTTACCATAGATATTTTCAACCTGCTGCTGCTGCTGCTGCTCCTCCTCTTCCTCCTCCTCCTCCTCCTCCTCCTCATTCTTCTTGCTGTTCTCTGCCCCTTCCTCCTCCTCCTCCTCCTCCCTTTTCCTCTCTAAATAACAAGTTCTTCTAATTTCCTCCTCCTCCCTTTTCCTCTCTAAATAACAAGTTCTTCTAATTCCTCATCTGTTAACCCTTCAATATATTCTTAAACTTCTTCATCAGGTTTATTAGCAAATTCTTCTTCAGCAATATGTCTTTTCTGAATACTTTTCTAATTTCTCTATCCATGCCTTGAAACTTTTGAAACCACTCATGATTTTGCTTTGTAAGTATTTCCAGAAGGTATTTACAATTTCTAGATTTAATTCACTTATTACGTCTTATATGAGTGTTATTGCATCAGCAATAGTGAATGATTTTCAGCACTGCATTATGTCCAGAATGATGATCAAATATTTTCAAATTTCAGGTGTGTGTGTGTGTGTGTGTGCGTGTGTGTGTGTGTGTGTGTGTGTGTGTGTCACAGATCAGATAATGCCCTGGTGTATGTGGCTGAGGCAGTCAGGTTGTACTTGGAGATAAATATTTACCCTCAGAATTTTCATCTTCATAGCAAACGGATTCAGGATGACCAGGTGCATTGTCTATTATTATGAGAATTTTAAATTCCAATTCTTTCTCTTCCAAATAGTTTTTCACTTCTGGAATAAAGCATCGATGGAACCATTACACATGTCTATCATCCATGCTTTCTCCTTAAATGGCAAGAATATGCACAGCAATTTTTTTGTTTGTTTGAGAGCTTGTGGATTCTACACTCTGTACACTGTGTTTGGCTTTACCATACATCCTGAAGCATTGGCACATAGCACCAGAGTTAATCTCTTTTCTATTTTTTATGCCTGCTGTCTCCTGTGCACTTTATTAAATATAGGTCCCTTTGGGCAACTTTTTCTAGAAGAGCTCAGTTTCATCACAATTGAAGGCATGCTTTGGATGCCTCCTTAATCAACTTATTCAAGACTGCCAGAAATGTGGCAACAGCATCTACATTGGCAGATGCAGCCTCTCCAGTAATTTTTATATTTATTAATCCAAACCTGCTTCTAAATCTGTGTAACCATCCCCTACTTGCAATAAATGACTTAGACTCTCATTTCAGGGGATCCCTTGATGAATTCTTTGTATAAGATAATGCTTTATGGTATAAAATGATACTCACAGTTGGAACATATTTTCTGTTCATGTCTTTGTTTATTTAGTTTTTTTATGGGGTTCTGGGGATGGAACCCAGTGTCTCATGCATGCTAGGCAAGGGCTCTACCACTGAGCCACAATCCCAGCCCTTCTGTTTGTCTAATACCCAGAAATGAATACCTTTTCCATCTTAACTAAGCACTTATCATGTGTTGTGGTCGTAACTTTTATATAATTTGAAGTGTGATTGCAAAACTAGCATAAGTTTACTTTTATTTCTTCACAATTTCACTGGTAAATATTTTACCATAGATATTTTCAACCTCAGCAGATGATTTTTTTCCATTATTAAGCTGAGAACTTTAACTTTTTCACTTTAAAGAAGTTTTTTACATCTTCTTTTTGCCATACTCAGGTCACAAATGTCTATATTCTTGTACTTTGGTGCCATTATTGAGAGACAAAAGGATAACTTGAACATAAGCATAGTGGTACTGTAACAATCAATCTGATAGCTGAGATAGCTTACTAAGTTACTAATAGCTGGGCGGTGTATACATCATGGATATACTGAACAGACGGATGATTCATGTCCCAAGGAGGACAGAGAAAGATGATACAAGATCTTATCATTTTTTTTCAAATGGTGTGTGATTTAAATCTTAGGAATTGTTTATTTCTGGAATTTTCCATTTTATGTTTTCTGACTATGGTTACCTTCAATTGACTTGAAACAAACTAGCAAAAGGAAAAAAGAAGTAGAAGTACTGTAATCTCATTTAACTTTATTATGAAGTAATTTTTTCAATAGTTTAGTAGTTTTACCTTCCTCTAAACTGTGTCCACCATGATCTTCATAATTATCAGCATTAGAATATTTAATTCACTCCCTTTTAAATCTTTTCAAGTTGTATAATTAACGTAATTGTGTTCTTATTTTACTGTGTGACTTTGATATGAGTGGGTACATGCACCTGGGGATGAGTATATCCACCTGGGGGAGGATGAACTCTGACCTGCTATGGCCTGCTTTTTTGGACTGTTTTTATCATAAGATAGAAAATATTTTCTGTCCCCACAAACTGACTCTTTATCTCATATATCTGATCTCAGAGAACAGTATAACTATTTGTTTATTACTCTGCTCATCATTCTTAACTCACCCCTATTTCATTAGAAGACATTTTCTTTGGTCTTTATCTTCTTTTCATGTACACTGAACTCTATAGACTAAGATTCCTGGTCCCTCTACATCCTTATATCCATTTTTCCCAAAGGAAGAAAGAGTAACAATGGATGTGTGAATTTGCAAACAGAAACCACGTGCATTCCTTGTTCCTCATTTGTCTTTTCTTTTTTGGTGCTAACTGGGTTATAGGAAGTATGAGATCTGGTTAAATTATCTGTTCTGTCAATCTACACAGAAAGGCTAGAACTTTAGAGAGTTTGTTTATTTCTGGGTTTCTATTTGGCTATTGATACAGATGATGAATATTACATTCATGTGTAAAAATTGATATGTTGATCTGTTAATCTGCTACCACTCTTAGTTCTGAATTGCTTCAGAAATTGGGTTAGGAAATAAAGTACTACATGGTGGACTTTTCTCAAACTTCTAACCCAAATCCCAAATTCCATAAGTACTGAATGTTACTATAGCTTGGATCTTTGCTCTCACCTCTAAACCATCTCTGTTTTGGTTTATTAGTTGCCAAAATGAAAGAAATCATAATTGTTCTAGGTTCCCCATGTCAGAGCTACCTCCAACACATCCTCCGTACTAACACCAGAAAAATATATTTCTTTAAATAAAAATTTGGTATCTTGGTGTTTCTCCACAGTCTCTTGAGTTATTACATAATCCCAAATTGGTCTCACCTGACTATTTTGACCTGGTAACTGTATACCAGGTCAAAATAGTCAATCACATATACTCTCATATCACAATATATCCTCAAGCCAAATTCTGTCAATATTAAGAACCAACAGGTCTTAATTTTTTTCTCATTGTTATAAAGACCTTGTATCATTACTCATCTAGCTAGGTAAACTTATTTTGTTAGTTTAGGTACTATCTTAAACTAAGATTAAGAAATCTTAATCCCATCTGATACAGGCTTTTCCTCTGCATTCTTTTAATACACTGATAATCTTTACATTTGTTCATTAATTCTGTGTTATTCATCCATTCATCTTTCCTCCACCCATCTGTTCACTTGCTAATGATAGTATGACTACCAAATACGTAGTCTAAGAATTGTGCTGTGTATACAAAGGTGAAAGAAAAGATGTCATTCTTGCTTCAATAGAATTATAACTTGTGTCAAAAGTTATCACATAGAACAGTAATGAAAATTATATTTGACTATTTTGTTCACTAGTCAAAAAATTTTCTTATGGCAGAGATGGCATTTTGGATTTAGATTTGGGACATCCATTATGTGCTTGACACAGAGATGTTAAACATGCATATTAAACAATTTCATGTATAAAAATCTACTTTTATAAATATTTTCCAACTTCCATAATTTCAGAAGTGATAAACTTAGTTTTTCCAAATATAATAGATGAAGACTTCTGGTTCAGGTTTATTCTGCAAAGTTGAGTCTTGTGAGAATATTGGGAATAAAGATGAGGAGATGTTAAATTCATTGCAGCAGTGGAAGAACAAAGTTTATTTACCTAATGGATTAGAAGGTTTATCCAGACCTTGGATCTGCTTCTCAATACCAGCATCTAAAACTTTCTTGGTTCTCATTGATCTTCTATGTCATGTCTTTGGGGATCCCATTTATTTGGACTGCTCTGAACTCTTTTTCCATGTATTTGGAAATCTTCATTGTGTAAACTCTTAAAAGAAATAGAAGAACACCTAAGTAATTCACCTGTATTATTTCTTAAGGTAATTTGCCTGTGGACATTCCATCTCCACCAGAAACTTCTGTGCCAGTAACATTACCTCCAAACAACTGCACAGACAATGAATTTGTCTGTAGGTCTGATGGTCACTGTGTTGAAAAGATTCAAAAATGTGATTTTAGATATGACTGCCCTGACAAATCAGATGAATTATCGTGTGGTAAGTGAATTACTAAATTTTGTATTGATTGTAGCCATAAAGTAGATAAGAAAATGCTAGTATAATCTTAGGTAGTACAGTCTAATGTCATAGAAATTTTCAGCATGGCTCAGCATACTTCTTAGTGTGAGATCTACTAATATAAAGTTAAAAGTAGAAGAATCGGCATGCATTTTTCTAGCAGGCCCCCAGCAGGAAAGTGTCTTTAGATTAATGTTTTGTATTCAAAACTATTTTTTAACTATACTTGACTCAGAGATTACCATTTACTACCTGTTCTTTATCCATTCCCCTTTTTGTATCTACTCCTAACACCATTAAATATGGACTATTTAGAGAAGCAGCGTTACAACACCTCCAATTAGATTCATTCATTCAAATTTGGCCATTGCCAAAATGCATAACAGTGAACACTCTATCAAATATGTAGAGGTCATAAGGAAAACAATTTTAGTACAGATGGGACATATACTTAAGTATCTAAATGATGGAAGTAGTGCAGTCACTGTTAATGACATAAAGATGGAGTGCACTTCGGGTTTTCTATAGTACACATAGGAATTCATTGAATTGATTTTTTTTACTCTAGCAACAGAATTTAAGATAGATAGATGTGTGTTCACAGAGAGAGAGAGAAAAAAGGTTGTAAGAATTTAAAAAAAAATTCTCCTATAAAACTCCTACAACCAAAAAATTCACTGGGCTTATAATTTCCTATGTTATTAGAATACAATCATTACAAGACACTTAAAAAAAAAACTTTTAAGGAAACAAAGCAATATCAAACATTGTGAATCATATTCCCTTGAACTTATGTGGCTTGGAATTTGCAATAACATCTCTAGAGAGAGAACTAAAATTTTGTTCTTCAATATTACTGTACAAAGAAGAATATACTTGTTAAGCTGGAAAGTCATAAGACTGGCAATGCTGCCAGCAGCTACTTAACATCTCTGCAAAGAGAAGATTATTAGCAAATGAAGTTATTCTCATATTTCTATTACTATCAAGTCTTAAATAGAATAAACCTAGATATTTTTGAAACTCTCCTAGTGATTATGCAAACCACTTGCTAATTATTGTAATTGTTCTTAGGATTTATATTATTATTTTAAAAGCCAAAAGTTAGGAAGTGCTGTATAGGTAGGAATTGCTATTTATTAACCTATTTATTGTGACTCACTTTTCTCTTTGTTTTACTCTATCCAAGTTATGGAAGTTTGCACATTTGAGAAAAAAACCTTATGTAAATGGTATCTGCCATTCCAAGCAAATTTACAACAAGATTCAAACATATTCAGGTGGGGACTTGGTAATGGAAACAGTATTCATCATGGGGAAGAAGACCACAGGCCATCAGTAGATCATACAAAGTAAGTAACCCCATATTTTTTAACCTCTTTTGTAGGAAATATTTATCAAGCAACTTTCAAATTCTTGTTGTAGGCCAGTGCTATAGAGTAAAGATGAATATTTAAGCTAAATAATGAGAGCACCAAATGTCTTCTTTCATAGAATATTGAAAAAGAAAATTAAAAAACGATGAATGTTGGGGCTGGTGTTGTAGCTCAGTGGTAGAGCACTTGCCTAGCATGTGTGAGGCATCGGGTTCAAATCTCAGCACTGCATATAAATAAATAAAAAAATAAAGGTCCATTGACAAAAAAAGAACAATAACGATGAATGATGAATGTTGTGCATGTCATAGAAATTAGAGAAAAGCATGAAAAAGTATATATATATATATATATATATGTGTGTGTGTGTGTGTGTGTGTGTGTGTGTGTGTGTGTGTGTATTAACTTCACCACATCTTGAAAACCATTGTTAACATAAATTATCAGTTCTGGGCTGGGATTGTGGCTCAGCAGTAGAGCGCTCACCTAGCATGTGTGAGGCACTGGGTTTGATCCTCAGCACCACATAAAAATAAATAAATAAAAGAAAGGTATTGTATTCAACTACAACTAAAAAAAATATTTTAAAAAATTATGTGTTCTTACTCCCATCAGAAAAGCAATCAAGAATACAAATAAGAACAAATGCTGTGAGAATGTGAAAAAAGGTACATTCATTCATTGTTGTTGGGACTGCAAATTTGTAAAACTCTGGAAAGCAGTAAGGAAAAATCTCCAATAATTAGGAACGGAACCACCATATGACCCAGCTACTATACTCCTTGGTATTTATCCAAAAACCTTAAATTCAGTATACTACTTTAATATTAATAGCCACTTTAATATTTCTGGCAGCAAAATTCACAATAGTCAAGTTATGGAATCAGCCCAGATGCCCATTAGTAGATGAAAAGATTAAGAAAATGTGGTGCATATACACAATGGAGGTTTACTCAGCCACAAAGGAGAATGAGAGTAAGGCATTTGCCAATAACTAGTTGGAAGTGGAGAACATCATGCTAAGTGAAATAAGCCAAACTCAGAAAATCAAATGTTGAATGTTTTCTCTCTTATGTAGAAAGCAAGAATCATCTCTTTGATTCATTGGTTTATCTCCACGGGAACCATATTTCTCACATGATAGGCAATTCATTAAACCAATAAATAGAGAGCATTACAAATGGAACATATGCTAAAGAGAAAAATGGTAACCAGGAAAGGGTTAGTGTACAATGAATGGATTCTTCTAATGGAGCCCAAATGAAAATACTCTGCACTGGGTCTGTGCCAGAAGACCAGTATGGCTGGGGCAGATAAAGCAAGGGCAAACTAGATATCAAATGCAATTTCTTTCTTTATTGTATTCACTATTATTTTTTTTCAGTTTTTAATATTTTTGGAAATATGAGAATATTTTACAGATTTGTAGGCATGTTTGTATCCTTTATATATCAACTCCTGTTTTTATTATTTTCCTTTTTATTTTTTGTGTCACATTTTACACATTATTTTTATCACATGGATTATATGCACATAGTCTAAAAGTGACAGAGGAGTGACAGTCTTATAATGACAAATAACTGTACTACTTCCAATGATTCCAATCCAATTTCCTGGAGCTGTCTTCATATGCCCTAAGACTTGATTCACTCTTCTACCTTTTACGAGGGATCGGTTATAGGTAACTGGTCCTTATTTGTAAAATAATACACAGCCAAGACTTGATTCAACAACTTTAGACTATTTTTTTTACTTGTACTTATTAATTATACATGACAGTAGAATATATTTTGACATATTATACATATATGGAATATAAAAATCTCATTCTTCTGGTGGTACATGATGTAGAATTACATTGGTCATGTAATCGTACATGCACATAGGAAACTAATGTCGGATTCATTCTATTATTAGACTTTATTGACTTCCTGTTATAAGAAATGGAACTCCTAGTGTCCTCCCAACCCCCTTTTTTATCTCTCCCATTTTTCCAATATTTTTGTATACAACTTGGTTTAATTATTTTATCTCAGCAGTATTCTGGTTCTTTTTTTCATTTCTGTGTTGGATGTTTCATGATGATTGTTTCTTTTGTTTACAGTGTCTTAGATTGAAATTAAACAAGTGCCTCATTTATTTTCCTTAGATGTTTTATGCACCTCATGATCTTTTCCCCAACGTCAGTGTTAACTTCCAGTTATTGAGTTAGCCAATCCCAAATAACCAAATGCCGAATGTTTTCTTTGATATAACGAGGAGGCTGATTCATAATGGGTTAGGGAGAGGGAGCATGGGAGGAATAGATGGACTCTAGATAGGGCAGAGGTGTTTTAGGGGAAGGGAGGGGGCATGGGATTAGAAATGATGGTGGAACATGGTGATCATTATTATCCAAAGTACAGGTATGAGGACACAAACTCGTGTGTATATATTTTGTCTACAGCCAGAGATATGAAAAAATGTGCTGTATATGTGTAATAAGGATTATAATGCATTCTGCTTCCATATATAAAATAAAATAAATAAATAAAATGCTTAAGCTCATCTCCTCCTCTCCCCACCCCAACTTTTCATGGGAGGCCTTCCTGTCAAGGTCTTTGCCATGTGTCTCTACACTTTTCTCTGTAATCTGCCAGCACAGCTGTTTTTCTGGTCCATCCCTTCAGCCAGCATAGAGTGTTAAATCCCTAATTTCCTAAGCCCTACGACTTCCTGTTTCTTGTTTAAGACTTTTTCTTTCTACATTATCTCTGTTTCTCTTTTCTCTATTTTACTGTTTGTTTGGATGTCTTTTTTTTTTT